AAGGCGATCCGTCTGACGTCGATGGGCGACCCGATGACTTCTTGCTGCTGCCGTACAGCCGGGAAAGATTGAGACTCGAAGGTTTCTCCATTGGGCTTTCGTTATCAATCAACGACCTGTTTTGAAGTGAGTGGTCGAGCAAACTATATAAAAGCTCAATGCGTACGGACTGATCCTTGGGGGAGGCTTCCTAGCCCTCCCAAGGGAAGTGGAGAAAGTGTTGCCGAACAAACTATGCCGCTCTGTGCCTTTCGTCGTACCGTCCCGTTTATTCCGGCTATGTTTGCTACCAATACTGGAGTCGTCCAGCAGCTCCCGTTTCCGTGATGATCTGGGCGGTGTTACCGCCAACGCCAAGGGCACTGAGGTCGGGAGTGCGGTGGTAGAATTATTGTTGGAATTGGAGGAAGTGTCGCCCTTCTCCTTTGCGGTAGACGTGGACTCTGTGGAACGGCTAAAGAGGTGTCGGTGTTGCTTGGTGGCAGATGGTACATTTTCTCCCTGCCGAAAAGGTTTAACTGATGCTACTTGCAGTAGAAAGATATGAAATCACCTCGCTCAAGGCGCCGCGATTATCGTCTTGCAACTCTTCAGGCTCGCGTGCGTCCTGTCGAGATCGTCTGTTCAAGGCACCATCACTAGGTGATAATACAAGTTGACCCGACGCCGTACGCTAATGATGCGTAAGCAATAGAAACAACAGTAGAAGATGAAATACCAACCTTGTGTTCGTTACCGTTCGGCGGGACCCCGAGGCCGAGACCCACCGCACTAGACGAGACATGATTGTCCAGCGAGCCTCCAATGATACTAGCACCAGTGCTCGATAAACTAGATAATCTTTCTGCGAATTGGCTCATGTCTGCAGCTGGACTCTCGGTGGTGCACATCGAACCAAACGTCGCTGAGTTCGGCGCAGTAAGAGCTGAGCTCACGGTTGTCGCGAACATGGGGCTGTTCAGAGACTGATGAGTTGAGCCAGAACGCGAATGCGTGTAGGAGTATGAATGGGAGTGCGACAATGACTGAGGATGTTGTGGCGACTGGACATCTGGGAAGATGATTGATAGAGGTCGTCGTAGTTCAGCAATAGCGTTGGCAATGCGCATACGCTTCCCAAATGCGACAATGCCAATTTCAGCCTTGAGGAGGTTAATGTCAAGCTCTAGTAGAACATCGCCTGTGATCTCTTGTTCTAAGGGGTACGAGATTAGTTCAAGTTGTACAACAACAAGACGAAATTTACCTATGAACTTATCACAGATGTCCTGGCCGAAACTCTTGGACTTCAGCCAGTCAACAACTTCTTCAACGCTCCACTCCGATGGAGAAACAGGCTTCATCAGACTATTTTCCCGTGTGGGTTCAGGCGACATCTGTGGCATGGAAGTGGTAGAGACTTGACCGCTGGATGCAACACTAAGGTGCTTGGACGCCGGTGGTAGGCTCACTACACGTGGGATGGGGGAGGAAACAGCATTGGAAACTGGGCGAATCACAGGCGTGGGAGTAGCGTGGGTGGTGGGTTGACTGGGTTCGGGGGAAGCAGGTAACTGTATGGAGGATGGCTCGACGGCAAGAACAGGTGCAGGTGCAAATATGTTAACCATAGGAGATACGGGAGCGGACCGAGATTGAGATCCATTGCGTTCATGACCAGTAGGCGCTGGGGAGATTGCGCGAGAGGTTGAGGTAACAGAAAATGTCGTCTTATGAACTTTGGCTGTTTGTTCACCATCATTGGATAAAGGGGGTGGTAAAGCTTGCAAGGGGAGTGTCATAGGTGAAGCCATACTCAAGTTCCTCCTCCTGTGATTCAGAGTTACTGCGCCATCGTTGTCATTATCTTCCTCATCTTCCTCAGGAATATGGGGATGATCACGTGCCACCTGGTGTACATTGTGAAATGTGTCGTCCACCTCTTCTGCCTCACTCTCATCACTCAGTTCGATGTCTATCGGAGGAGCGAGCGAGCGGATATCCACTCCCGCAGCGGCCTTCGCTTCCACGACTTTACGTGCTTGTTCTGCAAGCTTGTCTCGAGCACTACGGTGCCAGTCCTCTCCGTCCTCCCGTAAGCTGGAATCTCCGTCGGTTTCTGTATCCGTTTCGCGATCTGTGTCTCCGTGCCGAGTGCTAGCGAAGCTGAAGCTGCGGGTTCCATCCCGGTCATCTCGGCCAAGCTGTTCGATGGCCTTCTGGACGTCTGTCATAGTAGCATGCATAACTTCCTCCTGATGTGCTGAAGGTGGTTCGCCAAGGGCGACACCAATGTTGGACTCGGCGTCGCTACCGATTAATGAAGCTGCCTCTTCATCAACTCTCTGTAATGCGTCGGGAGGCTCATTTATGGAAGGGCCAGCGGTGGATTCTGGTGAAGATGCACGTGGAGAGGCAGGGGCAGCCGGTGTAGTGTAGCTTTTGGGAAACAGGCCGATTTTACCTGCAAGATTGCGTCCCTGGTAATAAAGTGCGCGCATGAGTTAATATCATAGAACGAAACAACAAATGCAATTGAATTCGACAGAGCGTAGGGTATGGCGGAGTTTATGTGGGCCGAAACTGCGCTGCAGAGTTGTGCATGCCGACATACACACGGTGCGCAAGGTGAAAGAGTCAGGTAGTACCCACCTGCCACCAGCCATCGCTGTATTGATCATCTCTCTCTATGACCTCGATGGGCTCACCCGCACGGAAGTCAACTTCGTCCTCGTTTTCGGGCTGAAAGTCGTGAAGTGCATACACATAGTCTGGCATTTTACCGGTAGATTTCGTTGCAGGCAAACGATCCGGTGCCGAAAATGATAGTCAAAAGGCTCCTGAAGTAATGCGTATCTATGAATTAGCGAGAGTTAGCGGAATACGTAGCAGGGACGGACGGCGGAAATATGACACCCGTCAATTGGAAAGGTTAGTAGGTGGTAGTATAGATGAGAGAGTGGTGGCAAGTTGTGCTGAGTGACCCGATACCACGACCCGTTCGTTGAGATTCCACGAGCCCGTCAACGTTAACCTCGATGAGAACAACTACCAGGAGTGCTAGTACTTGCGAATACAACCCGAACCGGCTCACACCTGGCTATGATGACTCAGCAATACAGTTCAACCGCCATTCGTTAGCATAGTTCAGTGTGTAATATGGCATCATTCAAAAAGCTACAAGTTGGCCATGTCAGACTATCCGATACTATCTCGACAGCAGGCATGTTGTTGCAGCTTAAATAAGAGCATAAAGTTTCCAGTGGTTGGTTGAGTCAATTTCCGATTAACTCCCATGGTCACTTTTGCTACTATCAGAATGGCATCTAAGCACTTGAGTAGGACTGCTTCTTCTGTCACAATGGCCACCAAGCGCTTGAGTAGGTCTCGATTCTTTTAGCCATGCTCAATGTATCCTGATAATATTCCATCAGCATTCGTAACTGGAAACCATAATAAATTGAAGGAGACCAAGCATATTTTATCTCAAGGAACGCCAATAGAATTAGACTCGCAAGACCTAGATAGCAAGTTTTTCTGATCAAATGCTTATTCACCCGCTGATTAAACACTCAAGTACCCGAACTGCAGGGCACCACCCAAGAAGTTGCCATAGCAAAATGCCGTCGCGCAGCTGAGCTAGTCAGTCACTCCTTGAATCTGAATTCATAGATCTGCCTCCCCACTACAATGCTTATACCTTCTGGCAGCTGGGGAAGCCGTGCATAACGGAGGATACCGCCTTGTGCTTCGTAGCGTATCACGGGCTACCTGGGCCATACATCAAGCACTTTATGAAAACACTCGGTCACGAAGGTCGGTGGGTGCAGGGGCATTCTGCTAAACGAGACTTTCTGAATGTGTCACCTGAGTAGGCTTGAATAACATGCTCGCAGGATTTCCGACGAAAGACGCGTATGCACTCTGTACTTTCGCATACAGCGCCGGTCCGGGCACTGAGCCGATTCTCTTTGAGGGCCGCACAGACGGTACCATCGTCCCTGCCAGGGGACCAGGCGATTTCGGGTGGGACCCCATCTTCCAACCAAAAGGTTTTGATCAAACGTGAGGCTCTCTCGTTTTTTTTTGCTCCGTTGTTCAAGATACTGAAATTGGGACGAAGCTACGCCGAAATGAGCAAGGAACAGAAGAATGTCATTTCTCACCGATACCATGCACTGGTTAAACTCAGGGTATATTTGGCAACCCTCAACGCTGAGAACAACTTCTAGAAAGCTGCTTCTTTGCAGGGTAGTCAGAATCCAATATACAATTGGCTGTGCGATAAGATATATCTTACATACATCTGGAGTTCTTAGATCCGAATCCCTGACTTGCAGTAAAAATGATGTACATTCCACTTCAAGTATCACTTCATGGGCGCAAATTTGATAGGGTTCATGTCATTACAGGTCAGCGTGTTATTACATAGCTTCACATGTCCAAGACGCCAGGGCCAAAAAAACTGCGTCAAGTCAGTATTACGGTGTTGGTAGACACACGCTCCGCGATTGCATTCAACTCCGGTTCCAATCCGGTTCAGTTTCTTATCTCCCTTCCAATTTATCTTGGACGGAAGAGTCATTTTTGTGAGATCAACTCCCCAGGGGCGCCGTGCCTCGAAGAGAAATTCATCAACGGACCGTAGAACATAAGTACTATGCACCTACTCATAGTATGCTACGATACGACTTGCGAAGGCTTTAATATTTCATGGTCGTGTATATACATTGTACGTAGAGTTTCTGCGATCTATTGCCACTGCTATCATGAGGCTGGGTGATTTGTGTAGTAATGATAATAAGGTTTCTGATCCGGATTCCCGACTCCCGATTTCCGATACAACTTTTTTGAGTGATCGAGCAACAAGCCGAGCGCACACGCTTCCATCACCAGCCCCCTAGTGCATACCCACGTTCTGATACCACGAGGAGGAACCCATTTTGCTTCCCTATTATTTCACTGGACACAAGTTTCTATCCAATAGCAACGCGAGAAATCCTGGCGAATATTCCAGATCCATGTCCATCCATACTCCAAGAAAGAAGGCCAGGATCCGTCTGGATGACGACGTATCCTCCGCAAAAACTCGCCCAGTGAACTCCCTACAAAAACAACGCGAGCAACTTCCAATAGCACGAGGTAACTAGCATATCCATCTATCATGCGAAATTCTTCTCAGCATCTTTGGCAGGACGGGAAGCTCTCATCCGCGAAATACAGGAAAATGACACAACGATTTTACTAGGAGAGACAGGGTCAGGGAAAACCACTCGTGCGTCTGCTAGTCATCGTATAACTGCTATTGCGCCTCATGACTCTATCTTAAGTACAGAAGTCCCTCAATACATCCTCGAATCGGGCATCGCAGGCAAGGGCATGATCGCTGTCACCCAACCGCGTCGAGTAGCAGCAACGTCTCTCGCCGCTCGCGTAGCCGAAGAGAAAAATGTCTCTGTCGGTGGACTTGTTGGATATTCCGTGAGGTTCGACGAGGCTTCTAGCTCCGACACCCGCATAAAATATGTCAGTGATGGCATGCTCGTGCGGGAGCTACTGTCGGATCAGTTGCTGTCGAAATACAGCGTTATAGTCGTAGACGAAGCGCACGAACGAACCCTTCGGACGGATTTCCTCATAGCAAACCTGAAAACGATACAGACCGCTAGAAATAAGGTGGGCGATGTCAGTAGGAAGGGAAAGGGTCCTGCGTCAGCCCTTAACCCGTTAAAGCTCATTATTATGAGTGCAACGCTGGATGCCGAAAAGTTCAGCAAGTTCTATAACAAGTTGGTGCATTACTGCGCATGTGATGCACGTGCTTATGGCAATTTCAGTGCTCGAATACTCTATGTCAAGGGTCGACAACACCCTGTCCAGATATTCCACACATCTGTCAGCCAGACGGATTATGTTGATGCTGCTCTACGGACGTTCTTCCAAATCCATACTGATAGACCTCCAGGAGATGTCCTTATATTTCTTCCAGGTTAGTGTGTTAATTTGCCGGAATCATGCTAACTTCTGATATCGTATAGGCCAAGAGGATATCGAAAGTTTAGACAAATCGATAAAAATGTATGCTCGTAGACTTCCTGAGGAGCGTATGACTGTACGACATTATTACGTTTTGATGACTCTCGTTCTCATCGGTCCTCATCTAGGTTCTAACATGCCCAATGTATGCTGCCTTGCCGCCTGCGCAGCAGTCTAGAATATTTTCGTCCGCCCCTACAAACGCTCGGAAATGTATTCTTGCTACTAACATCGCCGAGACGTCCATCACGATACCTGGAATAAAATACGTAATCGATACCGGCAAGTGTAAGGAAAAAAGATATTTGTCAAAGGATACAGGTGGAGGTAATGGGGGTGACTGTCCATTTGAGTTCACAACTGACCGTTTCGGTAGGTTTTGATACCCTGTTAACTCGAGATATCACAAAGTCGTCTGCTATGCAGCGGGCTGGTCGCGCCGGTCGCGAAGTATGCCCTGAACCTTGTCTCTCTTGATACCTCTAACGTGAAGTAGGGTCCAGGGTTTTGTTTCCGCCTGTACACAGAAGACGCATTCAATTCTATGGCACTTTCCGCAGAGCCCGAGATTCGCCGATGTAGCTTAACCCAGAGCGTCTTGCAATTGAAATGCCTCGGTCAAGACTTTGAAGCGGTCGATTTCATGGATCCTCCCGAGATTGGGTCAGGTACGACCCCCTGACATACCTCCATAACCAACCCTGACTTTTTTCAGTCATTTCCGCACTCAAAACTCTTTGGCTTCTTGGTGCGCTAGACAACTCCAAGACTCTAACCACATTGGGACGTCAAATGGCATCCTTCCCTGTGGAGCCGTACTTCGCGCGTATCATCCTCGCATCCAAAACCCACGGCTGCACCTCCGAGGTAATAGACATCGTGTCCCTTCTCTCATCCTCTTCTGCTCTTTTCCTCGATATCTCCGACCAGCGCGATACTATTTCAGAAGTTCGGGGCAAGTTTCGTCATGCGAGTGGGGATCACATGACGATGCTCAATGCCCTCCGATCATACCAAGAGGTCGCCGCATCTGATAGCAAGGGTGCAAGAAAAGAATGGTGTCGCCAGCACTTTGTGAATGAAAGAACGTTTGTGGAGGCGACAAAGATTCGAGATCAGCTGAGACAGACATGCCAACGAGTTGGCATTGACTGGCATGCTTCTACGGCAGATAACGAGGAACCAGTGCTAAGATGTTTTGTCACTGGCCTCGTTCAGCAGTCGGCATTTTTACAGCCGGATGGAACGTACAAGCAAACGATGGGTCATTCTGTGAGTTTCACCCCTCGTTCTGTGAAATCAAAAGACCGAACGTGCACAAGGTCATTAAAATTCATCCGGGTTCCACGCTCTGCGACAAAAAACTACCCGCTATCATCTACGATGAGCTTGTGAGTGTCATTTTTTTCCCTTTTGTTCACGATTAAAGTTTATGGCGCAGGTCTACACAAGCCAGATTTATGCGAGGGGTGTGTCCTCTGTTCCAAAGAGCTTCTTTAGTAACGTCACACCAGTAGCGAGGGAAGCATAGTGTAGGCACGTGTTCTCTCGTACACTCATATGATCTAGCACAGGGTGTAGCAGCATACCGTACGTTTGAATTAGCCATTTTTATACATCTCAGAAGCACACGCGTTTCCCATCCTAGATTTCGTCCTAGACTCACGAGACTCCGAGGGGCGCAACATTTCCAAGCCTTATTTCCAATAGACTTTACCGACTGGTTCTTGGATCAGCGAGTCCCAGCGTTGTGGGTAATACTTATATACACGTGCTACTATTGGTCAACCATGAATTAAAGCCGATAGACCAGATATCACTTTTTCGTCTTAACACTTCTATCTGCTTGTGGAGCTTGGACAAACAACAAGCCTTTTACGATCATCCTATTCGGGCCAAACAAGGACGGAATACCCCCAGGATGACTCGGAAATTCGACAATCTCCCCCAACTCGCGACCATCACACATCGTCATACAGTTTTGTATTTATACAGATCATGATCACGACAACTATCCACTAGGCATAAACCAAGCCGCGACATGTGGGCAGACCTATTACTGTTTGACAGGTGCATACGGCGGTGTCCACTCGCAGGCAGACTCGGAGCGCCTGAAGCTTCGATGCCATTCAAGGGTATTCAAGTTCGCCCGACCAAGGTATCGTAATAAGCGGGACCCTTTTGTTTGTCCAGCTCCGCAAATAGTACATAAATAGAAGCGAAAAAAAAATGAAATCTGATCCTATTGATATGAAACTGTAATAGCGCGAGGGCTTGGTGTATGAAACGTGCCGTATACCAGGGCTGGCTTGATGGTGGGGAGAGTGGAACCCATTGAGATGACTCTGATCCAATTACGACCTGGAGATGTGACCTAAACGCCTCGAGGCCAAATACTGCCCTGGCGTGATGGGTTTAAACTCAAGGTAGAAGTCCTCATGGCTCAAACTTTCCAGTGGGGTCCAGGGAAAAGGCGCTGAAATGAAACCCGCTCCTTGAATCATGTTGAACTACAATTGGAGATGGCCCGCGATCCTCGGGCCTGGAGCATGGAAGCAACATATCATTATCATTTCACAAGAGACTCGTATATGTTCGGATCTTGTCGCATATAAGGTGTTGTTAAGAAGATAGTTTACTATCAGCTCCACCTAGTACGACAAAATCGGTTATATTCGGGCGATGCAACGTCGTCAACCCGCGATTAGAAAACACAATATGGGGCAATAACAATGGAAACACGATAGCAGGCAAGCGACACGACAATGACACAATCGCAGGCATAGAGCAGCGATAAGGAATGCCAGCAGACGGTCAGTAGCGACTCGCGAGATTAGAGGATCCAATGACAGCGAGGACCGTAAGATAGGATAGGAGAAGACTGCCAGCGAGGCGAAGCTAGTATATAGCACCGTCGACGATGCCACTGTTCTTCGTCCACAGTCCGTATTTTTCCTAAGGGATATTCGTTAGACTAGATAATACAATGAAAGGTCTCATTTACTACCTCTGTATCATATAGCTGTATAAAACGGTAAAATGGTCAAGGAGGGAGACAAGCAAGCCAGCGATGGGAAAAGCTTGATGCATGGGACCATCGACGACGTCACTGTTAGTGGGAGAGGAATGTTTATAGGGTCCATAGTCTTTGAGGGGGATGGTGGCGGCAGCTTTGAAAGAGTCCTAGAGGTATTGAGCACCCCAGTGGTTGTTGATATGACTCATTTTACAACCTTTGCAGCCGACGGGTCATGCGGTGGGTGATATTATACTGGAGGAAGACGTCCCCCAAGGATTTTGACTCGGGGTGTTAGCAGATTCTGAACTCGAACAAAAAACTTCGTGATATTGCGCGAGAAATGAAGCTAAGCCTTGCAGAGTAAGTTATGACACCGAACGATGGATGCATTGAAGTCATCGAGACATTGACAGAATGATGTGGGATTGTGTTGCACACATGAATTGACAACTCGGAGAACAACTTGGACGTGTGTGTTGACGAAAACACGATCGACGACACGAGCAACGCATTGCAAATAGACAACAATTACGGTAATGTTTATGGCACAGAGTCGTTGAAGATTACATAATATTACAAGATAAATCTTATGTCTAAACAATATTTTACACTATAGTGACTGTTTTGGCCATGTCCGGTTTTCATCATTCTCTCTCTCGCTGTTCAATCAAAATACTATGAACATCCTTGAATGTTCCCTGCTAAACGGGCGATGGGACTCCAAGCTCGATACAGAGCTGGAGTCGCGTCCTGCAATTGCAATGCTCGCAAAGGATGTCATCGATGGTAAATTTCGGGAAGTGCTAACCTCACTTTGGGCCCGGGCATTTTTCAGGGCATCTGGGCTGCAGGATAACAGCTATGAAGAATCTTTCTCTAGGCAGTTACCATCTGTGACAGATGAAGCAGAAAAAGAGCTTATCCAAGTCGTTCTAGCTGTCGCATCCTTACATGCTTTCATCCAAGCAAACTGGACTGGACCGGACCTCGATATCAATCCATCGGAAGTGATCGTTGACGTGATGAACCCGACCTCGATTTCTGATGAGGTCCTCCATATGAAGGCGGTGTCCGAACTTGCTTACGGCGGTGAGCCTGCTTACCACCTCGCCCAACACGCCACCTTTTTGCGTCTCGCCCAACTCATTTTCGCCTTACCATATCGTCACTGTATATCCGTTTGTTGGTGGCGGTTACGTACAATGATCGTTCACGAGCAGTTATTGGACGAGGCAGTGCCTCTTCCAACAGACGCCCATGATTCATTGGGGTCTCTATTGCAAACCCTTACGGGAGATATAGGGGATCGCGATCTTGCTGGCCGTCTGCAGTTAGAACAGGGTCGACTTGAACATATTTTTTGCCATGACAAAGCCGCTTCCGATCGTTTTGTCCAAGCGGCACGTGCTACGGGATTACAGTATGAACTCACGGGAGCGCTTGGGAGACGAACAAAGTTTCAACAAAATGATCTTAGCCAATTGGTGCTACTCGCAGAGAGCCGGAAAAGGGATGACTCCCCCGCCGAAACCATTCCCGATGATCTTGCTGATCAATCATGTACGCCTGATGACATGTCCAACATGTCATATTCCAGTCTTCCTGTTACCTTGGGATTGAATGACGACACGCTTCTTGAGCAGACTATATTCACATCATCTGCTCCCTCATCCACAACAAGTCAGCTGAGCCATCTAGATCCTGTTTCACAACCCCCTTTACACCCGCTCGATCAGTGTATACTTCTGTCGCTTTGCCTCAATGTACGAAATACATCTCCTTCGCACGGCCTCACAAGCGAACAGATGTCCCCTTATGTCGCACGTGTCATATCACATCCAAAGAACTGGTCAGTTCACACTATGGCCCTGCTTCTGCGGTCCCGTCTCGAGTCTGGACGTACACGGACTGTTGAGCGCTCAGTGCTCCAGCTCCAAGCCCTCGTAGACCAGATGCCAACCGCCGATTCCCCCTTACCGGAACGGCTGCTTTACTTTCATTCAATACCCCTTCCAAGCAAGTGGGAGATGGAACGCGAGCTGGCATTACGTTTCCTCACTCTAGGGGTGGTAAAGTCAGCCTTGGAAATCTTTGAACGCCTTGAGATGTGGGAGGAGGTGGTTAAATGCTGGCAGTCTATGGAGATGACGGACAAAGCAGTTGTCATTGTCCGCGATTTACTTGAGGGACGCAAAGAGGAAGCAGAGAGTGTGATTTTGCGGGGTAAAGATTTACCTTCGCCGCGGCGCGGCAAACTAGATTCGGCACGACAGGCAAAGTTGTGGTGCCTTTTAGGAGATCTGGAACCAGATAATGCAGTGGAGCATTATGAGCGTGCATGGGCGCTGTCAAAGGAGACTTCCGGCCGTGCAATGCGGTCTCTTGGAGGCTACTACTTCGCACACGGAGATTTCGAGAAGGCCATTCCCTGCTTGCAGCGTGCGGTCAAAATCAATCCGTTGTTATCCCGTTCTTGGTTTATCCTAGGGTGTGCCTATATCCGTCTCGAAAATTGGGAGGGGGCCCGAGATTCATTTAGTCGATGTGTTTCTATCGACGATGAAGACGGAGAGAGCTGGAATAATTTGGCTAGCATGTACCTCCGTTTGGACTCTTCCCAGAATATCCTCGAATCGGATGTGAGTGGGGTAAGTGGGGATGAATCTTCTTCACCCTATACGAACTCAAGTTTATGTTTAGGAAAACCAGCCTAGCAAAGCCAAATCTTTCTCAAACAGGATGCTGGCTTTCCGTGCATTAAAACAGGGCTTAAAATACAGCTACGACAATTGGCGCATGTGGACAAATTACATGATTGTCGCCATGGATGTCGGGGAGTTATCAGAGGCATGCCGTGCACTGACGCGTATTGTTGAAGAACGGAGTGCAAAAACCGGTGCAGAATGTGTCGACGAAGAAGTTCTTGAGCGCTTGGTAAATGCCGTTACCAGGGTGCCGGCAGGCCTCGATCAGTCAGCTGGGGCTGATGATAGGAGACGGGATGCTGTAAATAATCCGAACGAGGGCCACGGGCTGCTCAGGAGGGTACTGGATCTTTTTGACCGGACCATTCTTCCCCGCGTATCTTCGCCTCGCATCTTCCGCGCCTACGCACGTCTTCTGACTTTTCAATCCCGGTGGGAAGATGCATTGAAAGCCTACCTGGATTGGTATCGCTGTAGCGTGGCTGGAACGTTTGAGAAAGGAGAGACTGACGCTGAGAAGTGGCGAGAAGCTGTAAATGAAGTCGAGGACGTGATAGATGTACTCAAAAATTTCGGGCCGCGGGTACAAGGCATCAACTGGAGACACCAGGCGCGTAGTATCGTTCGGACGTTCATGGGACGCTCCAAAGACTTCGAAGACCAGGCGGAATGGTCACGCCTTGTAGAATTTCAAAGCGAGCTGCGTAGTGAAGAGTAGAAATAGTTGAATGATATCGCATTGAGAATATGGGAAAGCAGATGCTAATGAGTATGAGATGACTGACTGTGTTCAATACACGTATTGTGAGGTATGTGACGTGAGGGTAGTTAAAACACAGTAGCATGTGGGTGGGAGTCCAAGGCGAAATGAGGATTAAACGTGGTATATTACATAGAAGATGAATCATGAAGGAAAAAATGTTACAGCTTCCAGTCTAAATTCAGGGCGATGCGATTCAGAAACAAAGTGGTCAAAATTTCAGTGACCATCGTAAGGCCTGAATGCTTGATTGTCAGACGAGCACTGAAGACATCTTCTGGCTGACTGAGCTCCCACGTAGCGACTGTAGAGCGTCCATCTAGGCACTGAAATTCGATGAGCAAACCGAAAGGCACGAAAGCTAGCAACATCCCACCTCCATCTTCTGAGGAAAAACTTTCCACTTCAGCTCCTTACCATTCTGCGCCGTAAAATAGCGCGATCTATGATTGTTTTGAATTATATTTCAACGACGCGACATCCACAACACCTACGTGCTAGCGTCTTTCTTATGGCGTAGGTGATTGACCATGGCGACCTCCGGCCCATTACCGTACACGAGGTATCCTGGTGTTCTGGATGGGCCGAAATACAAGTAAGAATTGCTGGGACCCATGATTTCTGGGTGCTGCTGGCTCCAAGCCGCTTCGCGAGCGATGTGAACGATTAAATTTACTTTTCTGTCAACCTTTGGAATGGCATGTTAGAGGACGCTGAACGCTGGGCCTCAGACATTGTTACCGTCGTCCTAAGTTTCGGCCGTCACGGATTAAATTTAGACCGAGAGCGTCAAAAGAGTTACATACACCGTGAACGCTGGTCTGCTCTCGAGATCCTCAAATCTATGGTTGAAGAGATCTGATCCGAATTGAAGGAGGACGTATGAGCCAGACATGACGGGAAATGCGGAAGAGAGATGTGGGTTCTGGGTCGTTACATTCCAGTCACTCAGATGTAGCTTACCTTTTCAACACACAAGAACATGCTAGATTGGGAATAAGAGATTTTTAGGCACGGCCACAAAGAAGCCCACGTAAAGAGGCCCACGTGGCTCCTCGTGGCTCCTGCTTCATTTCAGCAGCCGAACCGGCCATTTCATTGATCCCCTTGGCCTCAGGGCCTCTGCCAGTCTTCCACACTTTTTAAGTGCGATGGGCAAACGGCTCTTATTCTAGGTTATCAAGTGAAACATTAAATTATGCCAAGGACATCTGTGGATATTAATCATGCACGACCTTCGTGTGTCTGCAAGTGTATGCAAACTACAATAGCGCTCCTGAGAAGAAACCCAGTAAACAGGTCAAGGTTCACCGATGTGACTAGCGAGCTCCACTTCTACGTACTGACATCGATAAGCTCATTCCCAAAATGATAAGGAATGACACACGTGGATAAAGGTCTGAACCAGACGGAAAAGCGAATTGTCCGTTCAGTCATACACTGTTAATTAGATGAGGATTATTACCACCGATCCGCTTGTCCGAGGATTCTAGCATTTCGTACCATGTATAATGCCTAGTGAGTCAGGTTTGCGTAAATACGCGTAGAACGGCGAAAAAGCCTTAAGTGCGCACCGTAAAACAATGTCCATACAAGAATAAATGTAAAGATGTTATCTTGACCAGGGTTCACCAGCTCCCCAAGTCCGCCAGGCAGGTATTTTGCAGGTTTCCCTCTGCAGTTTATGGCATAAATGATAAATGAGGTTGAAACGATGGATGCTATAAAGAGTGCGAATCCCAGCCAGTTCTCTAGTCCGAGGATTCCTGCAACTGCACCGGAAAAGCAAAAGGATAGGAATTTGACAGATGTTAACGCTTGATTGTGCAGGACATTTGGTGCAAATATAAGCTGGGCTGCATTATCTGTAGTTGTCGCCATCGACGACGACGTTGAGTGTGAGAGTCGGTCGAGCTGGCAGGCATTACGACTCGGACACCGGAAAGATCTCCCACGGTCTTAGTGCATTTCCGATACCAAACGAGATGATCTATCGTAACACTGCGCCTTTACAAGGTCGAATCAACAGCAGAAGGTTGTCCAACAACTAATACTTCCATCTCTCAGGAGAACTTAAGGTGAAGTCGTCATGTCCAAGAATCCAGATGGAAAACAAATCAAAGTCGGGATTCTTGGTGCGACGGGTACTGTAGGGCAGCGTTTCGTCACCCTGCTCGCAAAACACCCGTGGTTCACCATCCATGTCCTTGGAGCATCTTCCAGATCGGCTGGGAAGCCATATACGCTGGCCGTTATGTGGAAGCAGACGACGCCAATACCATCTGTCGTCCGCGATATGATAGTGCGCGAGTGCCATCCAAAGCACTTTGCGGAGTGTGCTGTCATCTTCTCTGGTCTTGACGCTGATGCGGCTGGAGACATAGGTACGTTCCTAGGCTTATAACCCCTCTTTATCATGGCTTATATTTGCAAATATCAGAATCTGCATTCAGAAGCGCCGATCTTGCTATTTTCTCCAATGCCAAAAATTACCGCAGAGACCCTTCCGTACCTCTGATCGTCCCCCTTCGTAAACGATTCACACTTGTCCATCATTCCTCAGCAGCAAGCGCTGCAAAATCCCCCGCTCAAGAAAGGTTTCATCGTTACAAATGCTAATTGTTCTACGACGGGCTACGTTATACCCCTTCGTGCCCTGGAAAAGGCCTTTGGACCCATCGAGTCGTGTCTGGTTACCACTATGCAAGCCATCTCCGGCGCTGGATACCCAGGTGTTCCCGGTCTTGATATCATCGATAACGTTGTGCCCTACATTGGTGGCGAAGAAGAGAAAATGGAGTGGGAGACGCTGAAAATTTTGGGAGGGATCGCCGATGGCGATGATGGAGTGAAAACCTTTGACATGCACGCACGCCATCCGTTACGTGTATCCGCGTCGTGTAACCGAGTTCCCGTCATCGATGGGCACACCATGTGCGTTTCTGTACGTTTTCAGCAGAAACCTCCTCCTAGCCCACAACAAGTCCGAGAGGCCCTGGTAGCTTATACTCCAGAGGCACAATCCATCGGGTGCCCTTCTGTTCCTGTTCATGCCATTTTTGTGCATGAAGAGCCGGACCGCCCTCAACCTCGGTTGGACCGATATTATCAAGACGGTGCAGGAGTGTCAGTGGGAAGAGTGCGCCAATGTCCCGTTCTTGACATAAAGTTCGTTGTCCTCGCGAACAACGTCTCTATCGGAGCAGCTACCAGCAGTATCATCAACGCGGAGCTCGCGGTGTTGAAAGGGGTTGTAAAGGTGGAGTAACGGGGGCGCTCCCATGCCGTTCAGCCTAAACAACGTGCCAGATCTAGAAGTTCGGCGGTGATGTCTTGCACGATAGTAGAAAGATCAAATAATAGCTTTATGTTACTGCGAGTATATTATGGGCGAACGCACTGGTAACTGATACAATTGTATACTGCAGGTTAGTGCGATGATGACGTTGATACAGTATTGTAACAAAAATGTGAGCAAAACATCTTGATCAACCAGCTCGGAAGGAACGGTCTCGGGAGACACGGTCACGGTTCAGCTGTACAAAACTCTCGATCAGGCGATTCATATTACCCAGTCCTGGCGTCTCGGGAAGCCACTCTCCATTGTTGACGCAAAGAACTTTCATGCGTTCGTGATAATCGAGATCAGGAAGTAGCTTAGGGGTGATCAAGAAGTATTGGGCGCTGTCAGGCTTGCATGTGACCTCAACCAAAGAATTGTGCACCGCGCGCTCGGCGCGTTGATCCATGCCCTTCGGAAAACGTCGTCAGCACTTGACGTATAAACAGGATCAAAAAAGGGGTACCTGGTTAATCTCGTCAACAAGAGAAAACGGCGTTCGGGCCTCTTCAGTCAAACTCATGAGATACAAGATAGTGGTGAGTGACCGTTCCTGGACCCAATGTAAAGATCAGTGCGCTGAGTAAATTTGACCCCTACTTACGCCGCCAGACTGCCTCTGTCCCGTCAGAAGTTGTAACTTCTCGTTATCACGGAATTTGACGAGAATGTCGATCGCCCACTTGTCATAATCATCATGGGGGCTGATCCGGATTTCACCTGCACAACCAATGCCTGAAATAGTCGATAAGCGTAAATTCATGACGCTCAGCAGGCTTTGACGACTGACGATCAAATGCAGCAGAGAATTTCTTCCCAATGCTAGCGACAAGCTGTTCGAGAGCAGGTTGCCATCGGTCCTGACAGAAAACTCAGAAATGAAATTGACAAGCAAGAAGACCACCTACTCTGGCATTCTTGATTTCTCGTTCCACTCTGCGGGTATCCTTCTCCCGGTCTTCCAGAATTTTTGTCAGAGCTTCGATCTGTTTACCGTCGTCATAAATGAAGACCTTCATATCAGAGGTGGAGCAGGCAAACCTCATTCTTTCGCCGCTCATACTGCTCAACAACGCCTGGGTTCGTCTGCGAGATCATATCGAGATTGGCGCGCTGAACTTCGAGTGCCTTCCGCAGGTCATTCACGCTCCGGTCGTGAACCGAACCATCCTGTATGGATATAAGTTATCTCGGCCTTATATTAATCATCACTTTAGGGTCACCCACCATCTCCATCTTGGCAAATTGTTGTTGGAATTCTTCGTCCATGCCCCTAACAAGCTCCAGACTAATGTCCCGTTTACTCTTCGCGTCGGCCTTTGTCGCAATGAATATTTGATCAGCTAGTGTTGGCGGTTACTTCATATCCGCGGACGTTGCAGGAAAGTTTGATGACGAACCTTCTTCGAACTCGGCAAGAGCCCGTTGGTACTTTTCATCCTTCTCTTGGCACAGCACTTCAAGTGCATTCTTGTTTGCGCCGACCTGGAGAAATTCAAGTCCACTGCGGGTTGCTTCTACTTGATCAGCAATTGCAGCGCGAATTAGTTGCTGCGGAGAGTATTGTCAATTTTGCTCACGCATTCAGGTTAGAGAAAATTAACCGTGTATTCCTTTACAATCCTAACACGCTTCTTGGATATTTCAAACAACTTCTTCTTGAGCTTCGCTCGTTCATCCTCCACGGAGGGTGCATTCTCAAGATCCTTCAGCTTGTTCTTGTTGGTCTCTGTGGTGCGGTTAGATATGAAAACGGCGGGACGGTATCAATATGTACCGATTTTAGCTGCGAGCGTAGCCAAACGCCTCTTCTGGTTATTAACATCCTTCTTTCGTGCCTCGAGTGCGTCCTGCAGACATGATAAGTGGCATTAACTTTCCAACCAGTACAAAATGACATACAAATGTCTTCTTGAACAGTGCTTCCTCGGACCTGATCTCACGCTCCTCTGCCGCGAGGTTATTTGCATCTTCGTTGATGACTTCAAGAGCCTGTCTGGCCTCCTGGATAGTCTGATCGAGTTTCCTTTTGATCTCAGGGTCGACTGCATCCCTGTAAATATACTTCACAAGAAGGTGCAATGGCGAACCACTTACTCGTGCTGTTGACAAGATTCCGAGCTGGACGGAGGTCCTTCGTCATGTTCGCAGCTGCTCGTTTTCCATACCGAGATCGTGAAACCGTGTTCATCACCCTTCCCGCGATGAACTTTGCCCCGCCACCATCTCGGGAAACAGCTTCCATAGCAGCATTTACATCGACCTTAGAAGCATCCAAACCAATAGCCTAATATCATAAAACTAATCAGCACAGTTCTAAATTAAGGATAGTTCACTGACGGTGCGATGCAAATTGACCTCTCGCGTAAGGAACCACAGAAGGCCGTCAGGGCACTCAATCTTGTTGATCGCATAATCATCAAAACCAAGTGCCTTCAACTACAACAGAACGTTAGATCATTCAATAGAGGTAACATGAACATACCTCTGCCTCATTCATGGGAGGAGGGATCACGTCCACCTTGGGTCTGAACCAGACGTTGATACGCGCACCCTTTCGGAGCCCGGCCTGTTCACTGTCATTCAAGTAGTTATTGAGGGCAGCATAATCTTCCTCGCATTGCGTAACAAGGATCTGCAAGTCAATCAGCCACCTGATATAGAAGCGATGGACAGGATGTGGTACAGACCTTGAGCTGATCCTGATTAAAGCATGCCTCTATAGCATCGGTATAGCGTCGATCCGGAACGGTGCAACATATCATAGGGGGCTCAAACACCTCCATCTTGAACTTGTCCTGGTGGTTACGAAGCCACACGACTGCATCGGCCATATCTCTATCCCAGAGCCGCAATTTCTCGAGTTTACGATGGCGCTCGTCTTCCAGGTTTTTCAGCCTATGACAAACGCGTTATGCATGTCCCGTGTTAGATAAAATTGTGTTTCTCACTGGTCCAACGCGCCACTGATGTTCGCCTGTTGGGCGGCGGACGAATCGACATTCTTCCTTTGTCGCTCCTGCAAGTCCTCCATGCGTGTAGTCGTCTGGCTGTGCTCCCTGTTGACTTTCCTCTAGAAAATGATCGTTAGCACAGATGACACTGCCTACTCATGCGGTTCACCAACCATCTCAGCATTGATTGCTTCTACGTCTTCTAGTTTGGGTGGGTTATCAAGCTCTTTCTGCCATTTTTCATTGTGCCCCTGTATTTCTTTGATCTTCTTCACGCGCTCCTTCTCTGCCCGTTTGAGACCGTCAAGTCTGCTGGTAACGTCCTCGGCGTCACGTTCCTGAGTGGCTAATGATCAGAAAAGAAACAACAATGAACCAACAGACGAACAAGCTTGTCATTCTCGCCCCATTTGTTCTTCATCTGCTGGAACTTCTGACGAGACGCAGTCTTCTTTTTCTCACGTGCTTTCTCGTATTCCTTGTGCTGAACTGCGAGCTGTCTTGAAGTCTGTGAGTAGATGGGCGATAAAACATAAGGGAGAGCATACTCTAGCTTGGCGTGTGCGGGCGCGTTCCTGTCCTTCAGTTTCCGTACCCGGGCGTGCAACTCCCGTTGGCGGTCTTTTGCTTTCTGGTAGCGCTCTTTAGCTTCATGGTATTCGTTAACAGGTATCAACACTTTTAAGACATCAATCTATGATAGTGATTAACAGCGCATAATAATATTGCGAAGCACATTACTCACATCCTTCTCGATACGCTTGCGCTCTTGATAACGCTGAACGTCTCGCTCAAGTTGGGAATTACGCTCTTGCATTGTCTTCAACCGCTCTTGCTCATCACTGGATTTCTGCAAGGTACCTGTGAATCGAAGGCGATGTTAAAGCAGAAAATTCACAAACATCTTGGAGATTCTTAAGCTCCTTGCCGGCGGTAATCAGTGTGTCATGCCAATTCGACAAATTAACATCCCCCGCGGCACGTTGCGTCTCTCTAAGCAACTGTTGCGGAGTCATTTGCGCAAACTCGGAGACCTTGTCCTGAGGCAAGAACGAACTGAAAGCGCACATACACGCAGTCAGAACCAGCGCTTAGCACAGAAAGGGCAAGGTACCATAAGTTTCCAACTTGAACATTGAGTTTCGCCATGCGGTTAGTAATTTCTTTTCCAGTACAAGATTTTCCGTTAAGAGTCAGAGTCGAGCTTTTGGACTTGGCGCTCAGGTTGCGTCGAATCACAAGGTTCTTTTGACCCTTTGCACCCTTAAGTTCAATTTCGATGTAGCCACTCTCTTTGCCATGCTTAACAAAGCTAGAAATCTCATTTGCGCGACCAAGGATCTGGTGGAGAAAGATATGAGTTATAAACACAGGAATAACAAAAGACTCACGCTCGGAGGCCAATTGAGTCCGAGACAAATTGCGCAAGCAATACTGCTTTTACCAGTGCCGTTGGGACCGAGTATCATGTTGAGGTATGGACCAGGTCGAAATTCCACCCAGTCGTACGTAAGAAAGTTGTGCAACTGAATGCGCACAATTGAACCAGGGATGAAACTAAGAGCTGATAGTGAGAAACGTAAATAACTGCAATGAATTTTCTGGCATCTCACCCGTCGGCATCACGAGGAAGTGTCGCTACTTGCTCTCTTTTCGGGGTGGTCGGGGTTGAGGGAGCAAAGTCGCCCTCTGCATTGACGCGAGCGCGCTTGCGGCTTCTTGGAGAACCATCCACATTCTCGGGATCACCGTCAGCATCCACATCACCGTCAGTATCTACATCGCCATCAGCGTCGACATCGGCATTGTCATCAGCCTGAGTCTGATCTGACTCTTCATCCACAGGTTCAGGCTCGATACGTCTTGCCTTGCCTTTCCCTTTCCCGTCGTTTACTTTCTCCTTTTTGACCGAATCCTTGACGCCGTTAGAAAGAGCAGAGTTCTCCTTGAGAGAGTCAGTATCGCCCTCTGGCAGTTCTGCTCTTGTTCGACGAGGCATGTTTGTCGCACCGGAGGAACGCGCGAGGTTTAGAGGAAGCTGTAGTAATTGACGCGTTTCGAATGTTTGATATTGTTTGTCATAGTAGGCGCGACGCGTTTAGGGCCGGGTCTATGGAACTAGTAGAAGAGACTACTCCAACTTGGACTATTGTAGACTATCCTTGAATATCATTAATCATTTCTTAGGTCGCATTTACCCTTGAGCGGTTACTTGCATTGGCTACAGCTTTTACACACAGAAATCCGCTCAGGAGTTGTTTCTAACGTTCGCCTTACGTAGTCTGCTAGATCCTGATCCGAACTCCCATGAGTATCAGACGGAAAAGCACCACACATGATCTAGCAACATTACGCCTCCATCCGGACGGATCGCGCGTCCAACAATCGTCTATCAATAGAAGAACACGCACAGCTCCATCAACAGTCCCAGATGCAAGAGGAAATTGGATCGCTCGTGATGCAGGAGGTAAGGCTGCCGTGAGGAGAGTTAGAAACGCTACTGCCAAGGTAGATGATGAGGATGGAGAGTCAATTGATATTCGTCTTTCTGATGAGTTGGGTGAAGATGGATCCACGGTAGGGACAAGTAAGAAAGGTAAAGAAAGGGCAATTGAGAGCGATGGAGAGGATAGTACCAAGGACCGTACCGGCAGGAATTGGAGGGCAAAGAAACGACGCAGTTTTTCCGAAGACCTGTCGTTCTTGGCACCATCACCCCCGCGCCGTGTCTTTCCACCGACAGAAACAACCTCCGAAGGCGACTCCTCATCCTCATCGTCTTCCTCGTCTGATTCGGAACCGGAAGAGATCAAAATCAAGTTTCCGGACCCATCACCCGTAAGAGTCTATCTTCATTCAATAACATCGGCTTATAATCGGTAGGAGCTGTTAAAATGCATTCACCACTTTGCCAGCCAATACTATCAGGAGAAAGGCGTTTTGTCTAATCTAAGCAGGGGTTACCGAGACGAGAGGAAAACACGGCGCTCCAAACGTAGTGTGTCCAATGTTCACGATCAGTCAACAAGCAAACCGGCGCTGTGGACGAGGGATTCTTCCCTTGATGCTGACGATGATGATCAATGGGAAGATGAGAAATATGAGCTGGAAGATGGGGGAGATGAATGGGAAGACGAAGAAGATGATGGCGAAAACGCTTTCCTCAACGAAGAACATAAAGATATGTACAAGGCTCTTGACGGCTCAGCTTTGGTCGCAATAGGTATTCAAAATCACCACTCCTCACCGCCTCGCTAACCAGTATCCAGGGATAATTCTCCAAGAGCAAATTGCGCATACCATGATTACCGGCTTTTCCGGTACTCATGCACAACGTGTGCGACGACGGCACTATTCCATAGAGCGAAGCTCTTCCTTACCTTCGCTCGATTCCGACTGATATCGACATCGCCCGTTCACTTAGACACGGTAGTATTATATTCCAGCGTAATAAAATATAAGCAAAAAGATGATAGGACAAACACTACTTTGCTTTCGCTTTCATCCTATTCTTTGGATCTAGCTTCAGAATATAATCATCCGTCAACGTCCCATCCTCCCACCGCTTCAAAATATTCCCTCTGTATATCCCCATATTCGACCCGCCAAATACTTTAAGCCGTTCCAATCGACGTTCCCGAAGTTTGTTTTTAGGTAACATGCCGGACACTGCGTGTCGTATGATCTACATTCGCGTAGGGCGGGGTAAGCATACGGTCTTGTGCAAAGAACCACAAAACAAACCTCATAAGGCTTGTTTTCCATCATATCCTTATACTCGGTCTCTTTCAACCCACCAGGGAACATCGTGTGCTTGCGGTACACCAGTTGTTCGTCTTTACGACCAGTTACCTTGATGTGTTTTGCGTTTGTAACTACGACATAGTCCCCACAGTCCACTAAAATGCAACTGAGTGACAAAATGATGTTTAAAAATGCAGGGAACGTACAGCTCTTGTCGTATATCGGTTTATGCTTGCCCATAAGCACGAGAGCTATTCGTTCCGCCAGTTTTCCGAGAACGCGGTCAGAGGCATTAACATGATGCCATACTCGCGCATAAGCAAGAGCGGTCTATAATCAGCCTCGAGTTAGATGTTCGCCTTGGTACACAGAGACAAAATTGCGTACGTTGCCTACTGCTTGAGACATGAAAGTGCTGGTTGAGGAAGACCTCTGCGTTTCATTTTGAAGGAGTCGCACGTGATGTGGCTATTTTTAGACATGTTATAGTGCTCTATTTGAGACGAATATTGCCTGTGGATCATCGCTGTTCTCGTTATTCCATGATTTCGGATTTCACTTATACAATTCAAAGAAAGTAGCTTGGTGGAAATGGGAGTTGACACTCTAACATAGGAACTTCAGTAAGATGGCTGTAGCCTGTGAGTCCGTGGGCGAAACATAAAGAAAAGGAAAGTTGAGTCCTGAATAATTACATAGGCGAGAAGCACAGCTGACCGTCTCGCCATGCAGGAGCACGTTTGGATATATACAAGGAGGACTGCTATGCTCGTATTCAAGAATTCTTCGCACTTTATCAAGCCTCTTTGTAAGCTCATCTGAACTGCCCGGGCCAGCGTGGGTGAACTAACAATTGGTGCAACAAGAAAAGTGTTATCATCATCAACATTAACAGTGTCAGCACACGAGAATAGCTCACCTTTGAACACATCCAAAGAATACATTGGCTACTGAGTATTGAACTTCGACTTCGTTCACGCCGGGACCACTATCTCTCCCTCGTACCTATCTCGGATCGTTCGGCCACTCCTCTCTTCCCTCTCGGATCGTTCGGAGTTCAAAAGTAAGCACAGGTAGGACACCTGATCCCGACACGTCCTACCGTTTACTACCGGGACCATAGATGGATTTCCATGGCTCCTTGATGCTCCACCCCTCCTCCTTGAGAAATTGGTGTAGGATTTCGTCGGTCAGCCTTATCTGACCGGCCTTGTAAAAACACAAAGTTTGCCCTCAGTGGTCCTTCAATACAACAAGGTAAGGTGCGCTAAGAAACGGACAGGGACACAAACACAGTACAAAAATGTTGAAGACTCACGACCAGACAGCCCATTCAGTAGTGATGCTCGTAACATAATTCATCCAAAGCGCACATCAAGAAGTTCTCCTTTCTCCAGAGTATAATTATACGTGGCATTGAAGACATACGAACTTCGAAACACCTTCTAACTGTCCTGCAGTGATGGCTCTAGTGAGGATGCATTGATTGACGGACTATCAGATATGAATGCACACATCATGAGAAACCGGACTCGAACAGAGCCTTTGCATCTTTACAGTGACTTTCGAGGTTGCTGAGCAGTTGGACTTCGACGTATCGATGATGGAGGCCTGTAGTAAGCAGTTGCACAAAGTGCGCTACTACCAACGGTCAGCACAATTTTGCCCTGCGCACGTCAAGCGGATAAGGCTCTGACTAAAAATATTTTTTCCTTGTCCTAGGCGACCTTCTAATGTTTCTGTTGTTTGTAACTGCGTTGTGAATATGATTCAGAAAAGTTGCTCAGCATTGAGCTGATTATACATGTTCTCGCTCTCCGCTCCAAATGCTGCTTAGTTGCGTCGTGAGTGTAGCTCTTCATTATACACTTCAAAAGATTGTCGTCGTGCAGTAGGCAGTCCATAGCCTCTTAAATGCTTGCCACAGCGAGAGAGGTGGCCGTCAATAATTTGCAGCAAGCGTTCATAATCGCTGATGTCGCTGCAGAGAACGGACGATGTGAATAAAGTATTTGAATTCTGTCCAAAGTGACATTAATATCTTTCAAGTACGATCTGCGCAAATAAGAAGTGCAGTTGAGAAGTTGAAGAGGATGAAAAGAAGCGAAAAGAAGCGCAAATGGATGGCAAATACACAGCACAGCATAACGGGGGACGGGGTGGACACGATTGACACCGAGCTGCCGGAGATGTATGCTTACATATGTTAGAAAAACGTTGCTTCCGCTACCAGTGATTGCGATCGACATGTCTTGAACAGACCACGCTGTAGAGATTTCCGTGAGACAAGGATATTCCAGAATAGAAATAGATAACAGGATAACATTTCGTACGCGGAAGACCATACAGGTCCCAGGGTCGCGATCGCTTTCGCACCAAATGAAGGTCCCATCATATTCAGAATTATAAAAAGGATGAACTGCGAAATCGTTGATTTGGTGATCCACACTGGTCAAACTCGTTCATTTGTTGCGTTGAAAGCGCGTGAATAACTTGTACCTAACTAAGCAAGCAGTTTTGGTGAACATGAGGCAGTGTGTGAAAATAAATGCTGTGCAATGCACAGGTGCCATGCCGAAGGGGCACGTTAGAAAGTACAGGAAGGGGTTGCAGAACGCACGCACATTCAATCAGCCAATTTGCTCGCTCTTCTCCCAAGTTGCTAGCCTCTAGGTAACATCAAACTGATCTGGGCTTTCAGTATTGACGATCAGCTTCAGCAGGCAAAGTGTACCAGCACCTTCAAAAGTTGGGTTTCCTTCGCCTCACCGACGGTCCTTCGAATACTTTTTACTCATACTACTTTGCTGGGCTCTCTGGCAGACCGGCCATGACTTCGAGATCGCCACAGCCCGTTGTACCAGTAAAGGAATTGACCCTGACACCCGTGTTGACTTTGAATGGTCACAAAGATTTTACTCGATCCATATCCTACTTTCCGGATGGGAAGCAAATAATCAGCGGGTCAGACGACAAGACCACTCGTCGATGGGACCTAGAAGCGGGTGAAGAAATTGTGGAATTGCGGGATGTTAGTAAGCAGGAAGTACGTGCTGTGGGGGTGTCAAGGGACGGTCGATGGGCTGTCTGTGCAAGACATGATTACAACGACGGGGAGCTCAAAGTCTATGAGGTTGAGACGGAGACCGTGAGAAGATTTGAAGAGTCCAACTCGCCAATCGATTGCATTGATATCTCCTGGGACAGCACGTTACTGGCGGGGGGATTACATGCTAGCAGTTACAAAGTGCAGATATGGAGTTTGGAAACCGGTAAACCTGTGGCTGTTCCGTTCAATATTCCCCACAAAGCGAGCGCAGTTCGATTCTCGCAAGACTCGAAGAAGCTCGCAGTTCAGTCAAATATGGGGAGGCACCTTGCAGTGTGGGATGTCCAATTACAGAAATTGGATGTTTGCACGAGGAAACCAGCTAACTGTTATGCTGCATATGCCCCAGTGTTTTGGACTACCAATGACAAAACCATCGTAACCGCATTCAGCTTTACAGACACCATGATCAAGACGATCTATGAATTCGACGCGTCCACGCTGAAAACTATCGGAGCCCCCTTTGAAGGACACACCGAAACCATCACTGGTCTAGCACTTTCATTTGATTGTGCTCTCCTCGCCAGTGCTTCCTGCGACAACACCATCAAACTTTGGGCATTTGAATCCCGCCGGATCCTCGCCTCATTCAATGTTCGGTCTACCGCTTGCCGCCTTATCCTTTCACCCGATTCGCGCCAACTAGTTTACACCACCCAGCTTAACAATAACATCTACTTATGCAACACTCCCCCTGAGATCATTGCTAGCATTCAGCCTGTACCACAAGTTAGAGTACGCAGTTAACCACGAATACTACTATCCTTCATGTGCTAACATTTTTGTAGACCAGTGTTGCTAGAAACCTACTCCTCGCTGATGTACTCGTCCCTTTCTTTTGTTTATTTACACAACTCTATTAATCCCATTTTTTCAGTATGGTGCTCTCTCACTTGCCGGGAATCAACCCACTAGCGAGGCCCTACCAAATGCACGACAGAACCTCCCTTCCTACTCTCTGCCACCTCCCGTCATTTTTACCCGTCGTCGCGCAGCTCAGTCTGGTGGTCGCAAAAGGAAGGCCTCTGGTATCACCATCAGTCCTCATAGTACTAGTAACCAAACAATGGAACATGTATGGGCTCAAACACCAGGGGAACCCTCCTACTGGACTACAAGCCTAACCTCGAGAGGTGGCGGATGGTCCGAATCCAGGACTGACGGACAAGCCGGAACGTCTCACATACAGCCCACTGACATACCACCGCTGACTGACATGTGGCAGCGGTCTGCTGACACCCAGTCGTCGCCTGGTAAGATATGGGGACAACATTATAGACTAGGATCTAAGCCACTGCATCCGGGACCCATGGCAGATCTCCCAAGTACAACAATACCGCCTGTCATGTTTCTTCCCCCCCCCCCCACCGCCGATATCCTCTTCTACCGTAGGTTCGCGGCTACCCCAGTTACCCCTAGACCCTCATGATCTCCTTCGCTCATCTTCCCATACGCATACGGTATACGCTGCTCGTAATAATGAGCCTGACGATCTCCCCATTGAAGTAATGCTTCAAGACCTCTCAAAATATATTATCAGGGACGGAGACTATCCTGTTGCTCGTGGCGGATTCGGGGAGATCTGGAGGTGCACCTTGAACAACGATCGTAGCTTGGTCAAAGTTCGTTTGCTGTCTTTTGTCCGCCCACCTATCTAATTCATAATTTCGTAGGTCGCAGTAAAAGCATTACAGGTGTACGCTGATGATCAAATTGGGGAAGCGAAGGCGAAAAAGATCAAGGCGAGTGTCTTACTAAAGGACCGAGTCTATCACTTACACTACAGGACGCCGCTTCCTAGAGGATAAAGCGTGAAATCAGGATATGTGCCAACCTCAAGCATGCAAATATTCTACCAATTTACGGTTATACGCGTGGCTTCGGCCCATTTATAGCGATGGTCAGTCCTTGGGCGGAGAATGGTAACCTGACGGTCTATTTGGAGCGCGAGGGTGCGGCTTTCACTCTCGTTCGACGATTCCAGATGGCAAGTCCTCTCTTCATGTATTTTGGGTAACAAAACTGATGGAAAACTCAGCTAAGAGATATCATAGCTGGTCTGCAGTATCGTATGATAGTTACTGTCAGTGCCAGATCGAGCTCTAACTACTGCTTATAGTTCACGCCAACAGTGTCATCCATGGTGACTTCAATGGGGTAGGTTTGATCTTCTCGATACTTCCAATTTCATTGAGATGCGAGCTCCAGCCTAATGTGCTAATCCGTGGTGATGGCACTGCGTGTGTTGCTGACTTTGGTCTTTCCTTGATGTATTCCGAGGTCATAAGCGCCTCTCAGGCTTCCTGGACATCCACCCTCAAAGGAAACATGCGATGGATGGCCCCTGAGCTACTTGTACCAGAGAAGGAGGATGGATCTCCAACTCGTCCGAGCGAGCAGAGCGACATCTTTTCCTTCGGGGGTATCATGTTGCAGGTACGTCTGGAGTACTCTCAACTTTGTCTCTGATATCATTGGCTCTGCCTTTAGGTCCTCACTAACAAAATCCCTTATTATTACCTCCCAAATGACGCCGCTATCGTCCTATGCATAGCTAGGTCGGAAACCCCCTCCAGAGCTCGTTATCCTGAGCTCCTCGAAAAATACTGGACATTTATGGAGCAATGTTGGTCTACTGATCCTCGGGACCGTCCATCGACGGAGGGAGCTGATGTGACGATCAGGAATGAATATTACTCGTTGTCCAGAGCTCGTTGATTCTTGCACTTGACTTGCATTCAAACAGTACAACTACTAGATAGATAAACCTAGGTACATCTGTATAGTAACGTAGGCTCACTCCAAGATTTCTCTCGTAATATTGAAGCACAGCAATGCTCTGTAGTTCCTAAAATCAGGCACTACTAGTACTACTGGCCTCTCCGCGGCTGACCTCAAGCAAAATGTTCTCCTCTGCAAGTATGCTGACCGCTTGACCGATCATGGTTGATTAGTTCCTGGTACAATATGATACAACTAGATCACGCGAGTTCCTTGCCAGAAAGTAATGCATTCATTCACCGTCCGAGATGAGCTCGAGAAATACCAAGTATCTTGAAAAATGATACTCTCTTTGTCCATCTGGAAACTGGTGCACAACAGTTGATTGTACAACCTTCGATATGGAAGGACATTGAGACAATAAATAAGCTCTCCAACAATGCATAGGTACATAAATCCCTTCGACTATTTCTTTCCCCTCCTTTTAGTAGACCCCTTCTGCGGCGTATTCGTCGCACTAGATGAGACTGTGTGCTCTGGGGCTGCAGGTGCAGACACAGGCTTGGGTACAGGCTTAGCAGCGCTCTGTGGAGGCGAAGGCTTGTGCAAAAAGTTGATGAAAAAAGTCGCAAAACCTCCGCTCATCATGTACATGAGCCATTTCGGCACACGAACAAGAGCGCCGTAGACTATGGACAGAAATTGTGCCAGGTAGTCTAAAATGTATTCACTGAAAATGGGCGGTGAGCGTTGGTAGGATACTGAAATCTGACCCGTCCTACCGTTCACCACCGGGACCATAGATGGATTTCCATGGCTCCTTGATGCCCCACCCCTCCTCCTTGAGAAATTGGTGTAGGATTTCGTCGGTCAGCCTTATCTGACCGGCTTTGTAAAAACGCAAAGTTTGCCCTCGGTCTTTCAATACAACGAGGTAAGGTGCGCTGATAAAAGGTCAGGGACACGAACACAGTACAAAAACGTTAGATACTCACGACCAGACAGACCATTTAGTAGTGATGCTCGTAACATTGAGATAATCAATTCGTCCAAAGCGCACATGAGGGAGCTCTCCTTTCTCCAGGGTGTAATTATATGTGGCATCAAAAACCTGGTCTACGAACTTCGAGACACCTTCTGGCTGTCCCGCGGTGACAGTTCTGGTGAGGATGCATTAATTGACGGACTATCAAATACGATATACACACATTATGAGAAACCAGACTCGTTCTTTCTCCTCTTCGGGAGTCAGTGTCTCGTTCACAATCATTTCTGCATAGTTCTCATCCGTGATAAGAGGTATCCGCTCATCCCAAGTTGCAGATGGAGTTCCGGTAATGTTGAGACCGATGAGAGAGGATAAAGCGCCTAAAGGCCCTACGGTCACAAGATTGTCTAGGAACGACATCTTGCCTGGCCCATGTTGCGTCGCAGGGGTGGATGGGGAATGTGGGACGTGTTCTGGCGAGGGTGTTTGACTTGGGACGGCTTGCCCTGGAGTCCATCCAGCCGAAAAGTATTGAGCATTGACTAGCCCTGTGAGTGATAGAAAACTGGCAACGTATGTCAAAGGCCTCATCTCTCAAAATATGTATGTTCGGGTAGAATGGAACAAAAAGAAGTACCAATAACACTCCACTAGTTACATAAGGTTGACGAGCGTTTATATTATTCTCATGCCCAATTACAAATGAAATAGTACCTCACCATGATGCTACAAGGTCGTCCGCATGAGCTGTCACTAATATTTCCTCCTTGCTCTCATGCTTATCGATCGTAAGCAAAACTCTCAGTGTCCCAAGACGTATACACACCTCGACGTGGACGAAAATGCACACGTATAACGTTGTGCCAAGCGTGAATGGGTCTCGGACCGACTGTGGCCGTTCCATTATTTTTAAAACAAAGTTACCTGTCAGCTAGCTGGTGCGTGTTCGTGCACAAAATCTGACTACAAAAGTAGATGACTTACATACCACGCGGTGCAATATGCCCGCGGGCTCTTCCGAGCCTCGTTCGGCGCCCTTATGCCATTCAATCCAAGCCTGAGGCCTGATCCTGGATTACTCCAACGAGATGAGCCACTTGAAGCTTGCTTCACGATTTCGACGAACTTGTCGTAAAATTGTCTTGTGAGTATGGATTAGTCTCCCTAGATGAATCAGGATAGTCCACCTCTGGTTTATTGAGTCTCGAAGTACACTCGTGTCTTGCTGTCGCTAGGAAATTGGAGATTTCATCTCATCGCAAACTTCATTCAGATTCAGTTGCCTGGTGACCTCGTGATATATAGTTGCAGACCTGACTACTTCTCGGTGACGAGGAGCCCAGTCCCATCTCGGTATACGAAGAGGATATTCTGCACCTATATTCTGCAGTGATTTCTATGGGGTGCACGGCCAGCGGCCAGCCACAGTCACAGTGGAGTCGACGAAAAACAATTATCCTGTTCACGGATTCTGTGACGACCTAGTGTTCAGCATGCAGGCGAGCACTGGTCCAACTGAGTCTCCTGTAGTCAGATCTTTCAGATAAATGAAAGACAGTCGGGTCTTTATGTAAAGCTTTATGGTGTACACGTGTAACTTTCACCTTTTGAAGGATTTGACGAATTTCTCTAACACGGTGTAACTACGGACTTTGCTAATTGGTATTAGAGTCAAAATTTAAAGAATTGCACCCGGAAGTTCCACTATAGTACTATTAGTAGACCTTCAGAGGACCTCGAAGGTCTCTAGAAGCAGGTTATGCCGTCCTGTAGATGTGGAAGCTACCTGAGGCCTAGGGTCGTTATGTATTACATATGTACAGGTTTGTAAATACTTCTCAATTGACGAGTGTTGCTGCGCAGGCACCACGTCATATCCCGAATACTCAGTTTTAAATCCCCCGAATCCTCGAGTTTCAAATTCAAGCAGCACTGCCCACATATTGCCATACAACGGACTTTTCTTAACCAGCAACCAGCAAGTCTTAACATCAAAAATGCCAATGCGGAGATATCTGCGAGGCACGCTGACTTGTGCCACGTCGCTTCTGGCTTTCGTAAGTCAACCCGTGAAAGCTGCTCCAACTGAAGGTATAGCACGGACTTACCACTCGGAGATCTTGACAGTTCTAACGCAGAAAACATACAGTTCCCTCAGCAGCCTCTTTTTATGTTCCTTACCTCCCAGGCCTGCACCAGGATACAACACACCCCTTACACATATACGCTGGACACATTCTTTCAGATGCAGATGCAGATTCAGCAGCCAGCACGGACGTTCTCGCGCATCTATTCTTCGTAATGGTAAAGGCTCGTAGGTTTGCAGACAAGGAACGGCTTATGTTCTGGTTTAATGTACGTGTCATATGCTACAGTGGTATGCAGCGAACTGAATGCAATAGGGCGGACCGGGATGTTCCTCATTTGACGGCCTGATGATGGAAGTTGGACCTTGGAGAATTGACGGAGAGGGTGGCCTTAGAACTATAGATGGGGGCTGGGATGAGTACACTACTGTGGTATATGGTAAGTCTACAAAGTATGTTGCATCATGCGACCAAGCTCAACTAATTTTTTCTTCTACTTTCTCAGTGGATCAACCTGCTGGAACAGGTCTCTCGTATACTAGCACGAACCACTACGTGCACGGTCTACAACAGGTACGTGTTGAGACGCATGGGCACAACGCTGGCCAACTTATAGTTATGCTATCTCAGACGACTGACCAACTCATGGAATTTCTACGGACATTCTATAAAGTGTTCCCTGAATACGAAACCGTAGACGTACGTGACTTTGTTCATCCCGGAGCTCACCTAACAGCGGCTTGCAGACCTATCTGGGTGGCGAGAGCTATGCTGGACAATATGTTCCGTACTTTGGTATAGCAACTCTGAATCAGTCCCTAATGAGTGGCACTGACCCGTTTGAATAGCGGATGCTATTCTCTCATCAGAACTCAGAATGCCCTTACGCGGAATTGCAATCGGTAATGGCTGGATAGATGGTCGTAGTCAATACCCTGCATACTTAGACTACGCCGTGACGCATGGACTTGTCGACGAGAGCTCACAGGTGAGTAATTTGATCATCTCAAGAGCCCTGCTCGCACCGAGCCTAACATGATCCATAGCACTACAAAGACAGCAAAGAGGAAACTAACAGATGCATGGCGGAGTTCAGGGGTGCTACTACAGAACCCATTCATATAGATCAATGCGAGGGGCTGCTGCAATTTATCCTCAAAAGCAAGTCGCGAACGTGAGTAATGCTTCCGAAAATCTTTCGAATCTCTGTTTCACTATCACAACAGTGTCGATGGACAACCAAAATGTGTGAACGTCTATGATGTCCGGTTGGAAGATGACGAGCCGTACTGCGGTATGCAGTGGCCTCCAGAGTTGAAAAACATCAGTTCTTACCTTGCTGTTTGTCCCTCTCTCGACATGCTATCCTTACTGTCTAACGAAACTTTTTTTCCAGCGCAAAGATGTCATCAAGGCGCTCCATGCCGAGGCCAAACCTGAGAGCTGGGTCGAATGTTCCGGGCGGGTCAGCATGGAGATGCAAGACTATCTATCTCCGTCATCTGTCACGCTCCTTCCTTCAGTGCTAGAAAAAATACCCGTTTTGTTGTTTGCTGGTGATCAAGATTTTATCTGCAATTACATGGGTATCGAGAACATGATCAAGTCTTTGACATGGAACGGAGAAAAGGGGCTAGGGGTGAGTGTTTTATCATGTTCAGAGTTTCAGAACTGACCATCACTTCAGAAAGTGCAAACCAAATCTTGGACGGTCGACGGTATGCAAGCAGGGACCTGGGTTTCTTCACGAAACCTCACGTATGCCAAGGTACATTGTGTACCCCCCACAAGGCACTCTACTCACAACGCCACAGATCTTCAACGCATCACACATGGTGCCATACGACGTTCCTGACATTACGCATGACATGATCTTGCGATTCATGGGGATGAATTTTTCTGCCATCGTCGACGGGTCCGCACGTATACCAAGCGCAGTCGGGGACGACATCAAACCGATATTTATGGACAGCGATGATGTGCCGTTGTCATCGCCATTGCCCGGCAAGACGCCTGAGCAGACTAAGGCGCAGTGGGATGGTGATAATATTTTTTCTTGAATACGGAAACGAGTGCTCACTCAGTGTTATCGTCAGCCTATTATAATGCAGGCTCTGTGGCCCTGATCTTCCTTCTTCTGGCTATTGCCATTGGTCTTTGTATATGGTGCCGTTTGCGTCGTCGACCAGTGCGGTTGTCAAGGGATCCTCAATCGGAAGAAAATATCCCTTTAAACGGATACGATGATGACCAGGCACATCGAAAACGCAAAGGGAAGGAAAGGGCTCTTGAGGATGAGAGCGGGACGGCTATCTTTGATGTTGGAGATGATGAAGAGGGGTATACTAGTGATGATGTGCGGAAAGAGAGAATTGACTAGGTTATTTATTCTAGCATTCGCTTGAGAGCCCATTTGTTGCTTGACATGTCTGACCGCGGGTCAGAACAATCATCTCTTGAACACGGCAGACCTTGTAGCTTGACTCATGAAGGAGACCGGACTATTTGGCATTACACATCGAGTACGTGGTTGCTGATCATGTTACAATACCCTCTGAACTCTGTTCCTGTTATGAAGCTAAAAAGACATGAATCAAGTGTTATGATATTAATGGCAAGGAAGAAAAAAATACCTCCTACACGGGCTTCCTGAGTCGCCATAAGCCTCAATTGAGTTACTCGCACTTTTCATTGTTGAAATCGTACTTGTAGCCAGAAGCCTCTGTTGCGACGACGGGTGTGATACACCAGTGATCCACTTAGGTATAAGTATGGTATTAAACTCACCTCTCTCGTGGACATCGTTAGATTACTCCTCCACCCAGTCAATTCCATCCAATCCGTTTTGCTGAGGTCACTCTCTCTAGAGTAAGTCCATTGCCAAGCAATCCTGCTACTTCTGCCGGTTATGCTGGCACAACTGCCTGTGAATAATTCTGCCCCGAGCACTACTGTCGGGTTACTAGGTGGTAGATAGAGGCATCAAGATAAATACATAATGGTACGCTATGAAAGAAGCTAAGGCGTGGATTGACGATTCTAGTCTGCAATATATGTATTTATACATAGCCAAAGTATCGTGCAAGTATGGTGAGTAGCTAAGTGACTTTTAGTGAAACAATATTGAAATGGGTTGCCAAAAACTATATCTGTCTATAGATTAAACTACCCCAGTACCCAAGGGACATTATAACGGCGACGATCTTCACTTCCGACGACATCTTCATGTTTCCTGTAGAGCACCTGATAGCACGTATTAATTGCCTAGAGCAATTTCCGTACTACACACTACTGCCAGTGTCAAATTCCTGGAAAGCAATTGTAGTTATGCCAGTTCCTGCGTCAGAGTCGTCCGCGAGTTCTGTGTGATATTCTCGAATACTCAGGATGAGGCGTGGTCCCAGCACGAACAACTGCACAGGCAGGACAACTACAGCGATGCCATAATAAATTTGATCTCTCGCAGAATTCGAATCCTGAAAAAATCATGAGCAGCGGTCAGATATCAATCATAGATCGCCATACCGACAGCTTTGGTGAGAGATAGCCGAGGCGGAAATAAGAAACAGTAGCAAAACTGGAATGTGCTGGATTTCAGCAGAAATGATAATCATTCAAATCACGAGCTCACGCTATAAAGTGAAGCACGTGGCTTTTTATTAACACCGCTAAAAAGTCCCCGATGGTCGATGCTGTCGATCGTCCGACTCGTTCTATTTTACGAAAGTGTTGGATAGCAATCCAGACTGCAAGACACAGCGTGAGGGCCTCCCATGCAATGCCGATCACCCAACTCCAAAGGGAAAGTTGGGGCTGGTCTTCCGCAACTACATGGCACTGATAGGTGCCTGATAGGATGAACTCCTCTGGCATTGGTCCCATGAGTTTGAGGGGCTCGATTTTTCATCCAAAAATAAAGCTTACCCCAAATGAAAGGGTGGGTTCCTACGCCGTCTATCACTGAAGCAGCAGCAGTGACAGCAAAGAAGGTTGCAATGAGAAAGATGAACATCTTTTTGGATCGTTGGTACATGGCGTGTAACCGAATGATCACGATGGCTTGCATGATATTTCAGTCGAGTCAATATTATTGACTGGTCACTAGAGTTGAACAGCTTACCGCCTAGCATGATGTCTGCAGCGAATAACATCCACCATTGTACGCTGATGGCGCCAGTGCCTAGAAAAACCAGTTCAAATCACCAATAGGCATTGGAGGACTGCGTGAAGCAAACTCACAACTGTTATCAGTGGTTATATTGAACCAACAAGTTGTTTGAGAATATCACTCACCCCTGCATAGGAGTGCAATTAGTTTAATTTGGGTGGACGAGAATGGCACGCATTTTTGCAGAATACTCACCATATCTGTCAATGAAAAGGTCGGGAGTTCGGCTGCATGCCTTTGGTCAAAAGAAATGAGCATTGTATGCGAAGGAGACGTACTTAGTACATCGACCCTGAGATAGTTTATCAGCGCAATGCCAACTTGTTAGTTCTTGGAAACATACACAGAGCATAGCAGTCCAATATAGCGTAGCTATAATATCTTGAAGTTAGCCAAGCTTGTCAAATGGCCTGTAATATAGGCTCCATAGTACGTACACTGAGATATAAAAAAGTCACGAGGGACCATCGTTGCCTCTGGCCAAATTATTCTATATGCTGCTGTTCTTGTGGTTGGACTCTGCTCACCTAGATAAGTTCGATCTATGAAACCGTTCATACTGATATACCTCCTCCGAAAATGTCAGCAACCTACCTCCTGTTCGAGTGTCGATACTGGACAATAGTGATAATAGAATCATCAACAGTTTCTGGATAAGTGCTTCCTTGCTTACCCCAATCATACACCACTGCAGCAAAGCCTGCAACTACAAAACCAGTCAAAAATACAGTGAAAACATCACCAACACGCACTCTACGAACCTGCAAAATAGCTGACAGTACGAGTCAGAGCGATTTGCGGCCAGAAACTGGGATCATTTGAGATTAGGGTCATGTTCAGGAACTGGTGTCAGTGGATGGAAACTTGCAAATTGGTAGACGTATGAAAACAACGTATGTGCTAAATATCCTAGCGCTTTCCCAATTCGCCGAATAGCCTAAGATGCAGTGTTGACTCTAGTGATGGCATTGTTGATTTTTTCATCATGTTTGAGCACTGGAAAATCCTGTGATACCGCAACAAGGTAATGAATTGCCTAGTAGGGAACAACTACAGTGGAAGGCTGATAAGTACAAGAAGTTGAAGAACTCGCACACCCGGACCCTTGTATTGCATCAACGATGATGGACAGCTTACCTGCAACAGCCTTTTGGCCCAGCTTGTAACAGAATTGCACTCACTGCGGGCGGTCGCACTTCCTTTTGGACCCTGAGTGGATCCTCTGCAGTATGGCGCATTTTCACTCGTTGGCACATGTTTCATGTTCAGTGTAATTGACGTGTTTACGTTTGTAGCGGCATTAAGTCGACATGCGCAACGTTTGTACGTATACATGCTTGTTCGTGGTTGTCAAGTCAAAATTGCAGTGCACACTTGCAGACAGTGCAGGCAACGTAGCGGGAGCTTGCTTTTTCGGAGTGTGCATTTGTGAGGTGCGGTGACAGTTTAGACAGATGAGACTGGCCCCAGGAGCGCTTCGTCACTGTAGAGATGGTTTGCATTCAGAAAGAAATTGAAGTTCAAGCAAATAACACAGCCGCATGCACTTCTGGGTTCCGACTCGCTAGTCCAGCATTCGCACGGTTAACGACTAGCAACTTCGACCTCACCTCCTGAAACTCTGGATATATGCCTGAAGAACCAGTCCTGGAACATTCAGTGAGCCACTTGTCCAAGTATGACGAGGTTCCCCAGGAACTGCACCGAGCCATGCTGCGGCTCAACTTCCCGTCCTCATATGTGGTTGTCGGTGCATACCGACTCTTCACCGATAAGTCACTCTATGTTCCTGCGTGGGATAAATGCCGCAACGGCGCCCGACGAGGGCTGATATGTGGTTTTGCCTGGGTAAGTTGTAATATACCCTACGCACACATGCTCAACAGCTTCCGGCCAGATTTGCGCATCATACAGCATCCAGCGCCGCATCATCAAAGTAGCCATCACAAACCCATCCTCCATCTTCTCCATGCGCTACATAACACGATTCGAAGAAACCGCAGGCGAACTATCTCACGAGACGCTTCTAGGGTTTAAGTTGCCCTTCAGCATATCCACATGTGCGCCTGCTCATTCGGTTATCATGTTTTGACACTGATCATGTACTTATCCTACCAGACGTCGCGATACTCTTGGTAGGATCACAAGCTACCAGCATCATCAACTTTTTTGTCGCTCGCAATATTCGCGTTGTCCGCCGACGTGTCTGGGATCAAACAGTAGCCTCGCGCGGCAAAGGGCCCGATTTCTGGCAGCCATATGTTGAAGAATGGGATTCCCCACCTGTTGTCAATGAACGTTGGGGTCGTCTGGACAATATGTTCAAGATATGGTTCTGGAAGATGCTCATACAGAAAGGTGACCATGTGTTCTATGGTATTCACAGAGCTATTCCCTGAGGTATTACATCTCTAGTCGTCTTACTTCCGCTTTCACTGTATCCTTTTGTCGGTACATTTATCTCTGCGGCTTTCAAAGGCTTGAGCACCGCTCAGGACTTGCACAAGCCAGTAAGCACTCATTCTTATCTTCTCCTCGTCAATACTGACTACTGTGGCAAGTATTTCGCCACCAAGAAGATGACGGCCCATCAAGAAGCTGTATTTATTGAGGAACGTAAATGGGACTACCGAAGTATGCACGACGTCTCGTGATTCGCGTGTTTACTCACATCACGCTCAGTGTTCGGTTTCGTCGCGGCGCTACTCGAGGGTCTACCAATCGTCGGTCTTGTTTTCACAGTATCAAATCGCATTGGAGCTGCTATGTGGGCTCATGGTATGTTTGTTCACCGCTTTTTGCCCTCGTACATTCTCATGTTTTCTTCAGATTTGGAAAAGCGTCAGCATTATGTTGCAGCGCAACGTCGTGCGTCGGTTGTAGGTCGTAGCGAAGCTGTCCAGACGTAGAGTTTACTAGCTGTTGACATGTCATTTTGTAACATAAACTAGACCTGCGCCGGTCTCCTTGAGATCCAGTGTATTTTATTGTTGTATTCAAAACAACGGCATTATGATGACTATAAATACGACGTAACATTGAAAAGGAATAGTATTGTTTTTCATCTCTTGTTGTCGACAACAATGCAATTTGAATCTCATCACAACACCAAGGTCTGCAAAGGTGGTGTATAGTTGATCCTGTGCAGATGGATGTGAAGTAGAATCCGTGCAAACACCATGTGCAAGTGTTATCGTCAAAGAAACAAACAACAACTGCTCAGTGATCTCTGATCTTCAAATAAATACACACAATTATAATATTTCTACGGACCTGACGTCCATCATGTCGTCGACAGAAGCTATGTCTTTGATCTCTGCAATAGTATTGTGATCCGAAGCAATCCTTTTGTATTCTGCACCAGAAATGCTGCGCTAGCAAAAGTGCGCTGAAAGGTTGTCTGAGGCGAGCAATCAATCGCAAAGCCCGTGAGATTGATTCTGAATCAGCCAGCTCATGTCCTCTATCAGAACTACCGGGTGACTCATCGAATAGATCCAGGCGCGGACCAATATTCATCCTCGCTTAGTGTATCATCTCCAAAGGAGTGGGCTTAAGGAGATACCGATTCCAGGCACGGACAGGCAAGACTGTCTGGCGACCAGGCCATACCGGAGTGAGCCTCTTTTCCATCGTGATCAGCAGGCCATGAATCCCGTCTGTTTTGGCTCCATACGTGACTCTAGTCGCGTGTTTGATAGTGAGATCGCGCCTCCGTCTGACCCCTGTGATACGGAACACCATGGAAGGCAAATAAGTCTGCCTATGTTGCCAAGCAGGGTATAGAGTTTTGAAGCCGGTTCCGCGGCCACGATATTTCGCAGCGAGGAACGTGGTTGCTTTAGTCGATGTAGCATGTATCGCTCTAGGCCCGGCGAACCCTGCATCGCGAGTAATTTCACAGAATGTCCGCAACTTCACAATACCGAGCGAACTCAACGTGAACGTGAGGTCACTAGCTCCTTTCCACTGAAGGCAATGTCCCTAGAGATATAGCCTGCCAGTGAGGGCTCTTGATGGACTATATGACGACGATGGTTAGAGTCATAAAGTGCTCATGTTGGGTCAGTCAGTACACCTCATCTTGATTGCGTCCTGTCCTGAAGCGCGCAGTCCCAATGATATCTGCATGCCATAACGAGTGAGCGGTTGGCACACGATGTGTGGCCGTTGGCAGCAGTGTCGATCTTTTCAAGTTATGTGAATAGCTCTTCGGCAACAGAAAAGTCCCCCGCGATGTATGTATTTTGAACAGTCGTCTGCGGGATGACGCATGCTCGATTTGCAGCATAACAGTCAAGAGTGTGGACAATGGACATACTTTTTTTAATCAAAGACTTAGCCTTGACATCAAAAAGATGCTAACTGAGACAACGAGAAGGCGAGAAATGACCGTAAAAGTACCTCCGATGCTGCCAATCCCCGCCGCGATGCCCTATCATTTTCTTCAACGCGACACCTGTCTTCAGGTTACACGCGAAGCGTGTTGTCTAACGAGCCGGTGACCATATGGTGTCTGTCGGAGAAAACTGCGACAGAGGCTATGACGCCCCCATGGTCTTCAGACTATCATTCAGGTGTGGTACTTGAGATGAGCTACAACTCCATTTTTTGAAGGTCGATGGTCGATATGGAATTGTGGCTGTGAGTATCGACATCAAATCGTCTCGTGATTACATGGAAGCCCAGGGACATGAGATTGTTCGCCTCCATCAAGGCTAGCCAAGCCTGAGCGAGAGATGTGTAGCTTGTGTACATGTAGCTCAGCGTGCTTGACTGCCGCACCCCCCGGAACGAGAGCGTCGGGAGTCGGGATGTGATGTCACACCCCGTTACTCACTAAATTTGATCAGTCCGGCAGCTGGAAAGCTGCGTTGACCATTGTCGAAGCTGTCAACGTTTCCAGCGAGCAAGTGGTGTATATCTGCTGGCTGTATGTATCGCAGTGTTGTCAATGCAACAGGCGCACCAAATGGCGCCATTTCCCCCTTAAGCCACGGGCTGCACCGAACCACTGCGATGTAGCAACACAAACTCTTACAGGACTTGAGCTTGATTTCATTATGAACGTTGCTAGTGAGTCGTGACTATGTTTATGATGTAGGATCTGACATGTACAACTCTCCGATAATGACAGCATCTGCATAACTCCCAGCTTCCAATCTATCTGGCCCACCCTCCCTTTTTGTTGGCAGTTGTACAAGGCCGTTCGCTCCGCTCAGGCTTGCAACTCGACTAGATCTTTGGCCACCTGTGCTCGTTGCTCGTAAACCTTCCTCCCCGGCTCTCACGATCACACGATGGAATTCAACACGAGAGTCCAGTCGCATGGCATCACTCAGCTACCGTATCGTTGTCAAGAAAAACCTTCTTGAAGGCATGAGTTACACCTACCTTCACACGTACACGTGGTAGGTGGCATCTTTCACCAGGCCATCCGCCAAGCTTCCGCAACGCTGGTATGACAAAGACATAGAATGTGACCAGGGCAGAGGCAGGGTTACCGGGGAGAGCAAACATGAATTTCCTCTTGTGTTCTCCTTGCGCAGTCGGAAGACTCGCAAATGTAGTTGGCTTTCCGGGTTTCATTGATACCCGACCAAAATGGACCGTACCCCCGAACTGGCGTTCGATCACAGGCTTGAGAAGGTCGCTTGCTCCCATGGATGTCCCGCCTGTCGTGAGCAAAAGGTCGGCACTTTCGAGACCTTGTTTTATTGCTTTCACATGTGCGTCGATACTAGAGCCGAATCAGACGATGAGTGTTGAAGAAATAAAACCTCTTACTCATCGGCAACAATTCCAAGGTCAACAACATTATATCCCATTCCTTCGAGGGCTGCCTGTAGCGATGGTCGGTTTGTATCCCAAATGCCTCCCCAACCATCAGAGGGAAGTGGTTTAGGAGATTGGAGATCTAGAAGCTCGTTTCCCGTACTCAGGATAGCGACAACAGGCTTGCGATGCACTTTGACCTATACCAGTTCATCTCTGCACTGACACATGCCTATTCGTCGACATACCTCTTTTCGCCCGACAAACGTTAGGGTCCCAACTTCGCCTCCGAGACTTGTTAAGATCTCGCCTCTCTGAAGCACAAGGTCACCCTTGTGCACATCAGAGCCCGGTTCTCGGATATTGTCGCCTGGCGGGACCTGTACGAGTGTTTTCACCTCCTTTTCTTCTGCATCCTGTCCATCAGCGTCCTTGGCGGTGGATAATAGCTCAGTGTCTTCAACCATGATCACTGTATCAGTTCCTGCTGGGAGGGGCCCTCCCGTGTTAATTCGAAAAATTGATCCTTCAGGAAGAACATCGGCCAGCGCGTGAGTTCTAGAAGTTAAAACCTTGTACGTTCCAGGAGGGTCAGACGCTAACGGCTACATCAGCATAGCTCGTCATATGTGACAGATACGAAGACTAACAGCGAAGCGCATAACCATCTACGCTGGTGGTCTTGGATGAAGGAACATTTTGTGGAGCATAGACATCTTCGCCGAGAATGTTACCAGCCAGTGCAGGTGTCACCTGTTAATACTCAGCACGTACTCGATGTTTCCTGGCTTTCACTGACAGGAAGAGATACCACGCCCAGTGGTTGTATTTCATTCACGATTATATTCAAAGCGTCCTCGAGGGATATTTGCGGATATGGTGAAACGCGATGACGAGCATAAACTGTTTATAATCGCATAATGCTTCGATGCGGACTCAGTATTGGATGAAGACATACCAGGTAAAGAAGGATCATGAGATAAAATTGCCCGAGGCTGAGGCACGTGGTGATCATGATGGTGGTGGTGGTGATGCGGAACTCCACCGTGTCCCGAGCCCATAGCAGCATGCACCTGCTTGCCAGTTCCACCTCTGATGAGATCGATGGCATGTTCAATGAACCCATTTGCGAAAAGAGCCTCCAGATTTTCTTTGACTGCCTTCACACTGCCAGGCAGTGTGACGACGAGAGTATTTTTCACTGTACCTGCAACAGGTCGAGATAGTGCTGCCAGCGGAGTGCGCTTTAACGACTCGGCTAGCAGTAGATGAACGATTCCTGCTGCTTCGCGCTCCAATAAAGGGGCAATCGCCTAAAAAGGAGGAAGTCAGTACCTGCAGAAGCAGCATGAATGGGATCTACTTCGGGTGTCCGATCGCGCACGCCGAATCCCGTTCCCCCAGTGGAGATGATCCAGTCAACAGTATTGTCAACGTCATAGCACCAGTTTTTGACTGTCTCCCTTATTTGTCGTTCATCATCTGGAAGAATGGTCGAGCGTACGCAGCCATGCCCCCGTTGGCGAACGATCTCCTGGATGGTTGGACCAGATTTGTCTGCAGCCGCGTCCACCGACGCTGTATCGCTGACTGACGGAGTTTTGAGCTTAGTTTTACCGTCGGCGATATGAAGTTGACAGCACCCTGACCTGTGATAACGCCGACTTTGATCGCGCTCATGAATGTTTAAGGAGCGAGCGTGGCAGCATGACTCACGGGATCTTATCACACAGCCACAAAGCAGCCTGCAGGCATCCGGAGATTTCCGACCTTGTGCAATGGTGGAACTCGTCCATGTGCTCGATAACTCGGTTTCTATAAACGACATCATGGTCTCCAAGCGAAGCGTCTAACAAGATCTGCAGGAACGAGATGACGGTATACAGGGCCATATTATGTCTTGACTACATACGCAAACGTACCTCATTGGGGCTCCGCGATCGACGCCACAGATATCAAAACTTACATAAAGCCTTCCGCGATCGCAGGAAACGGACCATGATGCAAGCCAGAAAATCCGTACCATGTACAACAAATAGTATAGGTACAAGTAGGCTATCAAGGTGCAAAGTAGATGGGGCACGGTTATTATTGAAAGAATAAAGTAGATCATCAACTTGAAGCGCATCCTATGCCAGGCTTCTCCACATCCCAGCCGCTGGAACTTTACTTCGCGCTTCAAGTATCTTTAATGCTCGTTGTCTCCCCCGTGATTCGTCAGGAAGGTCCATTTGAGGAAGTTCATCATCACTCTCATCATCC